AATAACATAAGGATTGATACATTGTTAGGGGGTATAGTGCCGCCAACAGGTTATACCTGTACCGCTGGAGCAAGTGCATCAGCAGCCTGATGGTATCTTCAGGCTTCCTGATATCCCCAAATTCCACACTGTACCTCTGGACTGCCCCCAGCAACCCAGGACCAAGCTTACTGAGAAATTAAATAGACAAAAGTTAGGTATATAGGAGCCATGCCCACAACCACTTTTGGCTCAGCTATACAAACTCACTGGTTGGCCTTGCTTCAGAGACCCACAAATAAATCTCAAAAGAGATCAAAAGCTACTGTTAGTCTCAGACCTGGGCAAGGATGAATAGACTAGAGTAAATTGGAGCGGGTGGGCCAGCCTAGTGCCCACTCAAGCAGAAACGCTCTCCACAGCCGCTTGCTTCCACAATCCAAAATCGCTGTCATGCCCCTGGTTGGACTCTACCATCTGGGGAGATATATTTAGAAGATGAAATCTGCTGAAAATTCAGGTATGTGGATTTTGCAACTGAAATCTCCAGGCTTTCTCAGGGTTCCACCTCCCTGTACTTCCAGAAGACTTGGTAGTCATGTTCACACCCCAAAGCTGCCACCAGTTAAAAAAAGCTACTTCAGCCTTACCTTCCTGATAAAAATACTAATGCCTTGAACAAACAGGATGAACTCTTAGTACCTGTATCGCAAACCATAATGACAAAACGAGAGAGAGAGAGAGAGAGAGAGAAGAAAGGTGGGGAGGGTGGAGGAGGTGGGGGGTGTTGGGGGATGATGGGAAGGAAACGGGGGACATTGGTGGTGGGAAATTATACTGGTGGAGAGATGTGTATTGGATGATTGTATGATTGAAATCCAATCACCAACAGCTTTGTAATAGTCTATCTTATGGATATTTGATTTAAAAAATTTTTAAAAGAAAGAGATACATTATTTTTATCCATAAAAAAAGAGTGAATAAAGTATGGTTTTAAAGGGAAGTTTGCTTAACCATACAGATACAGTTTAACAATCAAGAAACAGTGAGAATGAGGGAAGCCTATGCTAAGAATAAGGCTGGTGATTTCATTTTATTTGTTGGGAGTAAAATGACATTACTTCAAGACAAATGAAAGGAAAGAAAGAATAAATGGAAATAATTTTAATATTGTTTACAGTAGGGATGAAAACAAAAGGACATTATAATATAATGCCATAAAGGAGGACATTAGAATGAACATGAAATCTTTCCTAGAAAGAGAGTAAATAAAAGAGTCACTGTGAAAGATTTCACATAAAAAGACAATGTGAGTAAAATGAAAACATGGCAATATCTAAAGGAAAGAAGCTGATTCTTTCAACAGAAATAAAGAAAACTGCAAGGTGGTTGTTAAATAATGGCCAGCACTATTTCTAAAGCAAGAAACTTAGAGAGATTTAGAAAGATAAAGAGAACAAAAAGACACAAAAATTTATCAGGCAAAAGCAAGGAAAAGAAGGCAAGTGTTGCAATGATGAAATCTAAAAAAGTATTTATGGAAGGAATACACAGATAAAGAGTCAGATTTAAAAACAAAAACTGGGTCTGGAGAGATAAGACAGCAGGTAGGGTCTTATACACAGCCAGCCTGCGTTTGATCCCCAGCACCCACTGTGGTCCCCAAATCCCACCAGGAGTAAACCCTGAGTGCAGAGCTAGGAATAAGCCTTGAGCACTGCTAGGTGGTGGCCCAAAATGATCACGATCATGATCATCCTGTTGTTTGTCGATTGCCTCGAGCAGGCACCAGTAACGTCTCCTTCTTCCTAGCCCTGAGATTTTAAAAGAGCCACATTAAATGCTCTTTCAGGGCTAGGAGAATGAGACCTATCATTGTCACTGGTATTTGGCATATTGAGTATGACACGGGAAGTTTGCCAGACTCTGCCGTGCGGACAGGATACTTTCGGTAGCCTGCTGGGTTCTCCCGTGGCCCAAAACAAAAGAATAAAAATAAAAGATACTTTATACCTGTTGAGAAGTCAAGTCTTGCCAATGGGAGTGTCTGAGGAAAATACGATAGATGGACAGGGATCAGATATGGCCCTTGGCAGAGAAAAGATGAGGCAGCGATGCAGGAGGCACTGGAGTGTCTGGAAGGAACCAACTCTGCCCCAGCACCAGCACCACTAGGTCAGTACTTCACATCCATGCTCTCATTTTAATGCCAATAATAAGGACATAAACTGAATCTTGTTCATCTCACTTCCTCTGTGGAGATTCTGAAGTCAAGATTAACTTGCCCACATGAAAGCAACTAGTAAGATGCTAGAAACATGATGCTGAAATCGTTTGTTACCTAACCTTTTATGTCTCCAGAATGCTATCTGTTGTTTCAAAGCAGTAGAGCTCAGGGGGTACAATGCATGCCTTTCACGTGGCCAGCCCTGGTTCGACTGTCCACACCACATCATCTCCTGATTACTGCATCTCCTGATACAGCTCTGGAGCTCTCTAGGCAATTCTGGGTGACTGGGGTGATCCTTGACAGCATGAATCCACAGACCCTACCACTGATCTACTGGATTGGTGCCAGGTCTTCTGGGCACTACTCAGGAGCCTCTGCTCCCAGCCCCCAAAAGTAAGTAGTTCATGCAAGAGGGTGAGGTTAATGTGCTGAGACAGCTATTTAAGAAAGTATCTAACTTCTTTTGCAAACCATAGCACCCAAAAGGAGAGAGAGAACAAAAGAGAATGCCCTGCCACAGAGGCAGGATGGGATGGGGAGATGGGGGTGGGAGGGATACTGGGGTCAGTTGTGGTGGAGAATGGGCACTGGTGGAGAGATGGGTACTCGATTATTGTATAACTGAATCCCAAGCACAACAATTTGTAAGTCTACAACTGTACCTCATGGTGTTTCACTAATAAAAATTAAAAAAAATAAAAAATAAAAAACAGAAAGAAAACATTTGAAATATGGTGGTGGGAAGAAGTTATGTAGGTGGGACTGGTGTTGGAAGAGTAAATGTAACAAATTAGTGTGAACAACTTTATAAAAATAAAGTAAAATTTATAAAAAGCTACCTAGAACGTCTTAGTGAGAAATGGAACAGTAGATATCAGGAAAAAAAGTCAAGAATTACAGATCTATCTTAAAAGCCAGTATCTAGAGTTACAAATATATAAAAAAGGAAAACAAACCATAACGTTCTCTGCATTTGATTGTTTGTTCCCTGGACCTCCACTGATGGAACCAACACTTAAAACACATAACTTCAGGCTATATGTTTTTAAAATTAAATTGAAAAAAGTTATCAGGAGTTGGAAAAAGAGTATAGCAGGTAAAGCATTGGCTTGCCTCTGGCTGACTCAGGCCCCATTCCCAGCACCCCATGTGTTGTTTCCCCAAGCCCTGCCATGAGGGATTCCTGAGCAATAGAGCCAGGAGTAAGCGTTGAACACCACCGCGTGGGGCCCAAACACAAAATAAATAAAACTCACTACAACAACAATCAGGTCTCTAGTAACACTATTAATATTGGAATATATAGAAAGAAAAACATTTAGACAAAAATTCAAAACGGAGGGGGCTGGAGAGATAGTACAGTGGGTAAGGTGCTTGCCCTACATGTGGCCAACCCAGGTTTGATCCCAAGCACCACCAGGGGTGATTTCTGAGTGCAGAGCAGGAATCACCCCTGAGCAATGCCGGTGTAGCCCAAATACCCCCTCCAAAAAAAAAAAGAATCAAAATGGATTGTAATAGAGAAGGCAGAGAAAGCACTGTATGCTTCTTACCTGTAAAACAGGAACATATTTAAAAATTTACTATTGTCTTAAATAATTAATACAATTGCTTTTTTAATCTCAGGGAACAAAAATATACAATGGTAAAAAGGAAGTTTCTTCAATAAACAGTGCTGGGAAAACTGCAGAGTCAGGGGAATAAGAAAGAAATTTACCATACCAGACAATATATCATCACACAATATATCATCAATGTCAAGAGAGGGGTTCCGCAGGGTGATACTATTTCACCAAAACTTTTCAGTGCCACCCTTGAGAACGTCATGCGATGACTGGAATAGGAAGGAATGGGAGTGAAGATAGATGGTCGGCAACTACACCACCTCCACTTCACTGATGACATCGTTCTAATAACTCCAAACATTAGCCAAGCAGCACAAATGCTGGCCGACTTCGACCATGAGTGTGAAAAGGTTGGACTGCAGCTAAATTTCATGAAGACAGTGTTTATGAGCAATGGACTCGTTCCGATGTTCCATTCACTCTCAATGGAACAGACATCTCCAAATGCTGCAGTTCTGTGTACCTAGGTCAAGAACTCAACATGACGAATGACCTGGCACCTGAGTTGTGCAGAAGGAAGATTAGAACGTCTTCAAGAGCATCGAAGAAACAGCTAAGAGGACAAAGAACCTCCAGCTCCGGGAACATCTCTTCAACTCAACCTTTCTTCCTGCATTAACATAAGCCTCAGAGACCTGGGCCCTACAAAAACAGGATGAGAATGCTATTTGGGTCTCCCAAAGAAGAATCAAAAGAGCTATGCTTGGCGTATCATACTTCACTCAAGTTAGAGAAAGAAATTTTCTACTTCTAAAAACAAAGGTCACAGTCCTACCGTTGTTCACAGATTTGCTTGAGCAGGCCCAGTAACGTCTCCATAATGAGACTTGTTGTTACTGTGTTTGGCATATCGAATACATCACAGGGAGCTTGCCAGGCTCTGCCGTGCAGGCGAGATACTCTCAGTAGCTTGCTGGGCTCTCCGAGTGGGGCGGAGGAATCGAACTTGGGTCGCCCATGTTCCCCGCTTGTAAGGCAAATGCCCTACCGCTGTGCTATCGCTCCAGCCAAAACCCCTGAAAAATTCTCTGAAAATTTTTCTCCTTATACAATATTTGCTTGACTCTAGTTGCCAATTACATAACTCATAAGTTACCCTACTGAATTATTTCCAGGTGATCAATGAAACAGTAACAACAGAGAGACACTCTCCATCTCATACTTACATGGAATGGTTCTCAAGTAAAGATTGTCTCTGATCACCTGCTGCAGTTTGTGGTCAATTGAGCCTTTCTGAAACTGAAGACTCAGGTAATGTCGCAAGTCTTTATTGATGACTTTTCCTACAAAAAATGAAAAGCAGAAGATAATTATTAGATTGTCAGTTAAATACACATGTGTGATTATACCTCTTCAAACTATTTAGCTATCAAGGGCGTAAAAAAATTAGACTATCTTACTGAAACAAGATAATATCAAATTATCACAGGCAGTATAATTAAACACGATATTTTACTGTATAATCATCACCACCACATAATTGTCACACCCTGCTTTTAAGTAATACTGGCACATTTTTTTTAAACTTCACATAATGATCACACTACAATTTTTGTGGAAATAAAAAAGAAAAAGAAAAGGAAAGAAGATTGGCATAAAACCTGCAACAGGAACCAGAGAGACAGTACAGGGGTTCAATTCCTGGCACTGCATATGGCCCCCTAGGTAATGTCAGGAGTGGTTCCTAAGCATAAAGCCAAAAGTAAACTCCAAGCACTGCTGGGCATGGCGCCCAAAACCAAAACCAAAAATAAAAGCAGTATGTGTGATAATTATTTTGAAATGCAGGATAGACGTAAAGTATATAACCTGGGCATAATTTTACATGGTAGGGGAGAGGAAAGAAAATATTACAGCTATCCAAAATAACTCATTCAATCCCAAGGCTTTTAAGTACCATGCATATACTGATAACTTTCTAATTCTTATGCCTTTTTTCCTAAACAATTGCCACCAAGCTCCAAACTCATTAACCCCATACATATAGATTACAGATATATTTGGAAGTCAAATAAGCACCTCAAATTTCAGACAGCCCAGAATTCTTCATTTCATCTTCACCCACTGTTTTCTTCTATACTGATTTTCCCTGATTTGAGAATAACAGCATTAAGGATACAGTAGAATAAACCCCAAAACTAGAAATTATCCCTAATTCCACCTTTTCTCTTTTTAATTTGGGGCTGGAGCGATAGCACAGCGGTAGGGCGTTTGCCTTGCACGCAGCCAACATGGCCGACCCGAGTTCGATTCCTCCACCCCTCTCGGAGAGCCCGGCAAGCTACTGAGAGTATCTCGCTCCCACGGCAGAGCCTGGCAAGCTCCCCGTGACGTATTCGATATGCCAAACACAGTAACAACAAAGTCTCCAATGGAGACATTACTGGGCCCGCTCGAGCAAATCGATGATCAACGGGAGGGCCTTTTACCTTTACCTCTTTTTAATCTCCAGGTCCAATTCATTCACCATCATTACCAGCTTTGTCTCTAAACCATGTCCCCCACTGTCCCCCTCTCCACTTCCACTGCCATGGCTCTAAGTCATCACCACTTCTCATCTGGAACTTGGAGACAGTCTTACATACTTGTTTCTGTCTAGCGATCATTATTCACAGAGACACAGGGTGAGACTGGAAGGGTGGCAGCAGGCACTTGGTGCTGGTACTGGGGATCGATTCCCACCCCCCCGCCCCCACCCACCGACCCCTGGGCTCCCAAATGCACAGCATGCCCTGATGCCCTTTGAGCTATTCTCTTTAAGCCATGAGTGACACTTAAAACAGAAATCTGGGCTGGAGGGATAGTGTGGAGGTTAAAGTGCTTGCCTGGTCTTGGCCAACCCTTATTCAATCCCAGCACTCATGGTCCCCCATTAAGGCAGGGAATGAGCCCTTAGTACAGAGTCTGAAGAATCCCATGAGGACCACCTACTGTGGCCTAACCACCCCCCATCCCTACCCACTAAACTATCAATCAGATCACCATTTCTCTGTTTAGAGTCACCTAATAACTCCTTACTGTATTTGTATTAAAACCCAAACTTCTGTACAGGACCTAGAAAGTTCTGAATGCTCTAGTTTTAGTGATCTCCTACCCAAACACATTCACTCTCTGTTGTCTCAAATCATACTTCCTACCCATACTGATCCAGAAAGCCATCTAAACACATCCCTAGAGCCTCTACCCAGCCCTAGATCGAAGGGGTAATTTTTATCCATAAACATGGTTTCAGGATTCCATGGGAATAGATAAGAGAGTGAAATATTGGGGGTTGTGGTAGGGTAGAGAAAATGGAAGTTGAAATATTAGGGTTCAACAGATGTTAAGCAGAAAAGTATGGGGAGAGCAGAAATATGATTTCAATAACTGTTTAGTAAGGGCTGAACATGAAATGGAAACCAGAGAAGTCCAAATACTGTTGATTAGACAAGACTTCAGACAACTGGCAAAGAGCAATGCCAAGACAAAATACCTTTTTTACTGAATAAGAAATAGTAGCTGCAATGCTTTCTTTCATTAGGAGCAGCAGAGTCATAACAAAGTTAGAAAAACTATAAGGTTACCTTAGATCAGTTCGTTCTTTTAACCATGACTCCATAACAGGGACCATTTCTAATGCCCTCTTTTGGTCTTTTCTCATGTATGAACACCAATTGTATGAGGGGATTCTAATAAAAGCAAGAAATGAGAGCACTTCTAAAGTTTAGAGATAACCATCAGATCTTAAACTGCACTGTAGCACTGTCCTCCCATTGTTTATCAATTTGCTCGAGGGGACACCAATTATATCTCCATTGTGAGACTTGTTACTGTTTTTGGCATATCAAATATGCCACAGGAGCTTTCCAGGCTCTGCCGTGCAGGCGAGATACTCTCGGTAGCTTGCCGGGTCCTCCAAGAGGGACGGAAGAATCGAACCTGGGTCAGCCACATGCAAGGCAAACGCCCTACCCACTGTGCTATTGCTCCAGCAAATACAAACTAAAGAGTTTGTTTTGCCTTGCCAGAAGTGCATGGTGAGGAAAGGGTACGTTCAAAAAATAAAACCTGAAAGCTCTTTATAAGGATAACATATAAGAATCCCTAGTCCAAGGCTGCTTCTCACAAGTTTCACCTACCTGTTCGTTTCTAAGAAAATAATTTTTCCTGATCTTTTTCATTTGTAATACAATAGTCTTTCCTTGGAAGAATAAAAATTGTATTCATGATCAATACTGACTATTCTCATTGTCTGCTGAATAAAAACATAGCCAATGCTGCTTTAAGTTTTATTTGGGGATGGTATGCCCACAATTGCTCAGGGTAACTGCCAGCGTGGTGCTGGAGGAGGCAGAAGGGTTTTCCTGGCATTGTCCAGGGAACCATTTAGTGCTGGGGATTGAAGCCAGGGCTCTCTCATGGAAAGCATGTATGCTAGTCCTTCGAGGGGACTCTCCAGTCCTAAATTAAAGCATTTTAAAAATTAGATAAGGAATGCTTCAATTTTTTGCAATAAATATTATACAAAAGCTCTGTTGAGTTTCTACCTAGGTGTTTGAAGATATTTTAGTGACATCTGAAACATTTGGTTATGGTTTTTGAAAAGACAGAGACTGTATCTTTCTTTTTCCCCCTCTGAAATATAATATAGGTTGCAATATCCAAAAAAGCTGCTATTAAACATATTTTCATTTAGTTTGGAGAAAGAATAATGCCAATAGGATCAAAGAAGAAATATAAATAAGAAGAAATATGAGCTTTTTTAAACTCAAGGTTTTCTCTTTTTTGTTTTGCAATCTCAAGCATCACTTAAGATGCATTGGAAGTTAAGGGTAACTATAAAATAGTAAGAACTCAGCTGCATTTGAATAATAAAAATAGCCATTAGGGGAGAGAGAGGTAGCTCAGTGGACTGAGCACATGCTTTGCATGTTAAAGGCCAGGGGTTGATCTCCCTGCATCATACATTCCCCCAAATACCAAGCTAAGAAAACCCCTGTGCACTGCCAGGCATGGCCTCGAACAAAACAAACATTAAATTAAATGCAATCAAAGACAAAGTCATAATAAAAAGCATAGATCACAAATTACATCAAGGGGATGACCTTTTTAAAAAAAAAGTCAATTCCTGACTTAGTGGCCTGCAAGATCTCAAGATTATGACAACTAAATTGAGCTAGTTTTAAAGGAAACCCCCTATAATTGAGCTGAATTACACTCACTTTTTATCCTTGAATTCTAGTGGGAGTCTAAATGCAATGCGAAAGGAACAGCTGCAAGGAAAAGGGTGAGGTACAATTTCATAAATCTATGTGTTAAGATTATTCCTTGACTTCTAAGTGATTTGTGAGTCAGGTTGATTTATGAACCTTAAAAGCAAATCTATATATTTTACACATACAGCTCAAGCAAGAAAAAGTCAGTAATTAAAATTTCAATCATGTAAGTCCTGACACTAGAGTTTCAACATATAAATCCTTATTCAAAAGATCTCATAATGAAGATGATGTTGAAGTTCTGGATCTCATGAAGAATTCTAAAGAGGCTTCTAAGAATGAAGCAAACTGAACTGAGTCAACTTCTGAAGAAAATAAAATTTGAAGAAGTTACTGGGAGCTGCTATTTTATATTGTAACTGCTTTTTAGAATGTTGTGCAAGATTTAATAAGATCTAGGTCTAATATTTTTAAGCTCAAGTTCCTTGGACAATGTAACTCTTTTCAGTTTCTGCTTAGATGCAACTCATTCTTTGTACCTAATTAAGCTGAAGAAGACTGAAAATAGAGTTTGAAACAAAACAAAAAAAAATCATAACTACAAATCCATACATTCAGAAAATGTACAAATAATACTTCCTACTAATTCTCTTTAAGAATCAGTGTATCAAGTCACTGGTTATTATTCAGATGAACCCTGTAGCTTGCTGGTACAGGTGTGGCCATGCAAGCAGTGATTAATTTAATTGCCAGCATCTCACTGTCTATTCTTGAAGGGTGACCTCAGAGACTTCATCAACCATTTGCTAAAGTCAAGATACAACACGTCTTTACTAATCTAATAGCAACTATAAAGAAGAAAAAAGAATAAAATGAGATCAATTTGGTATCTATTTTTCTTATATATTCACACTGATGTATGGTTATCTTTACTAAACATTTAGAATATTCTGCTTTATGTTCTCTTCAATGTTGTCATAAATTAAATAAAGTTCAGGGAGTTGGGCCTTGAGTTCTCACAATCCATGTCTTTCTTCTGGAAACTGGGGCATTTTTTTCTTCATTCTCTTGGTACTTCCCATATGATG